TAGTGTTTAAATACATTAGTAACCGTTAGATTCTAGTTCCTGGGTGAGCAGATTGCCCAGCATTAGGAGTGCCCTGGAGGCGTACACACTTGTGTTTTACCTAGTAGGCAGGGGGATTCTATTCTCGTGAGTCGTTGAGACCACTACGTTCATCAGAATAGAGTGGCAACCGAACACACGATAACAAGGGTGCTCACTTCCAACACGCACGACTTATATTGCCAAGAGACTCACCACCTAGCCACGACTTCTGATAAGCAATTCCTTCTGTAGACCTGGAGCTCATGGATTTTAATCGCACAATATACACAAGAGAACCACTTACAACATGACTCCACACGGACACACCCCCGCTACATCACAATCACGTACCCGAAAGAAGAGGTTACTTTACAAACGAGGTACACGGCTAAGAAATAAGACATCACGTATCTATACCATAGTACAGTTGAGATGGAGGTGGCGGATAATTTTTCTATAATCAAAAACAACAACACGCGAAGTGTCGACACAGATGCCTACTGTCACGTATTTATTAGCAGTTTCAACCATCAGTCACTGCAGGATTTTTAGCCACAAACATGGTTACGTATGCGGAGCTTTACATGGAGGTTCTGCATATTTACAATCGGACATAAATCTTAAAAACTGACCACAAATGTGAATCGGCAGGAAGAGAGTGGTTTCGCACGACACATACTAAGATAATCAACTAGAAAACCAAATAAGTAACAAACTCTTAATCCTCAGTTCAACTTCAGTGAAGTTCTTCCCGCTTGTGTAGAAACAAGGCTCACCTCCCCTAGTCTAAGGTTCTGTTAGTGGCTCTGGTATCATAAATACATTGGACAGATCTCTTTGGATGTATATTTGAAACAGTAATTTGTTGGACCTTCAATTAGGCATAATAATTGGTTGGGGGGGGTTTTTCGTCTGTTGGGCTTAAGCAGAAGCTGCCTGTTGAGAGAGCGAGCGAATAAATACCTTGAAGTGTTTGATAGATTGATGAGTAAATCTAGGGTATGTTTTTAATTTTGGACGGTTTGTCCTCAATATTAAAGGAAGATAAGGCGGAGAGATAGGTTAGTAGAGTTACAGATTGCCAACTGAAAAAAAGGATTATATTGATCTGCTAAAATGTAACCTGCTGCCACGGCATTACACCAAAATTGGGCGGGGGAAAATAAATCTCAGGGATTTGTCTGCGCGAACGCACCAGGAACCGGATAGGGGAAAACGAACCAAAAAGTTATACCAAACAGTAACGAGTAAGTCGAGACAGCAATTCATCTCCAAATATATAACGAACAGCACTATGTAAAAGAGAAAAAAGAAGAGCGTTAAAGCACAAACCTTCTTAAAAATCCAGGCAACCAAGATTCAATATCCCCACAATACACACATTAGAAGCAGTTTCTCTACATCAACACCCAGTTAGGCAAGCAGCAGCCTTACTCCCATCGAAACACTTCTCTATTTCTCTTTTTACCATCATAGTGCATACACTATCGTCCACTTGCACAGTGGTATATAATTGCTAACAACTCATGCCTAAGCACCCTGAAGGCTAAAAATAGAGGAAGGAAGGAGAGAGAGCGAGCCGACCGCCCCTGGTTCGTGTTCTAGGCTCCGGTTCGCCTCCTCCGCTCTAGGCCAGCAGTCGTCAGGACTGGAGAGAGAGACTCCTCCATTAACACACATCGAACAAATCTCCTCCCTCCCACACTCCGCATCACACATCTAGGTGGGAGCAGAAAGAAGCTCTTCCGCACAACCCGTCTCTCCTCCATTGAAGGTAGGCCTGCTCGTCAGCCTTAAGCCTATGGTGTCACTCTCATCAACGAACTCAATCCTGGGCGGAAGAGGATCGGAGGAGAGCGAGGATAGGAGAGGAGAGACAGTGCTCCACAAATCACCAGTGGACACTGAACTAGCGCCTTGTGGCTATCATCCTCCTCTCTCCACCACCTGCACTGAGTCGCGAGGGGGGGACGCACCAGGACCAGAGCTGGCCTTCCTGTGATGCAGTTTGTCATTGCCACAGTTACGCATTTCACTTTATGCCTTCCAGCTGTGAAAATGGTCTATAGGCTACTGCCTGAATTTGCTAGATGAAAGTAACTTTTCTTTAAAAATACACTGTGCACAGGAAGCCTTCTGGATGCCAAAAAAATTGTTTCCTTGTAACATTGTTCTGTCTTACAGAATACACTTCATCTTATTGAAATGTATTTAGTGTTGAGGTAATGCAAAAGTAACTGAAAGTAATCAAGTTACATTTAATATTGTGATACTGGGTAACTGTATTACATTTCATTTTCAAAGTAACTCTTCCAACCCTGATGCTCTTATTTTGTGTTGCAATGAGTTTTTTTTTTTTTTTTCAGATGAGCAGTTTGCATCTTGGCCCCAGTAGGACATGACTGACTGCTCATGAAAGTACAATGAAGTTGCCATCTTAACATAATACAATTTGCTCCTGAAGGTGTCTTCGAGCTTCACAAAACATGGCATTTGTTTGTCCCGCAGTCCTCCTGTGCTAAGAATGTCATGTGGGCTGGCAGTCAACCAGGCAGGACTCCCCAAAGCAAAAAAGGTGAGTGAATGACCACAGCTTTCTAACCACAGGGTGGTAATGGGGTCAGACTCTTTCTTGTGGTGTGTACTGTAGCGTGGAGATTCTCATTCAATCTAGGATTGAGGTGCTCACATAAGGTCTGACAGTAACCCTGATATCTCTGGAATAATGCCACGGGTAAAATGGATTTCGCCTCCCTGTAACTTCTTCCCAGTATGACGGACAAAGTGTGGTAAAGGGAAACATGCCTGTACAGCCTCCTGCTGTGGCGTGACACGTAGTAGTGGGTTTTCCACCAGCATTGTCAACTGATCCAAGCACTCCTTTACTTCCTCATCCTGGGTGAGAAAAGCAGGGTCAGGAGTGAGCTGACCTTATATCTCATTGCTGATCATCAGCTTGTGATTAGTGTTTTTTTCCCCCACCAAATTATTTTAACAATGATTTATCTGTGTTCACACATTACAGATCAGTCTAAGATAATGCAATATTAACCAAGTGAGAGAGAGGCAACCTCAAAATGTTCTACCCGTGGAGTGTATTAGAAACCTTCCAGATTTAAAGTTGCAGCTCATATTTTTTGACATACTAATAACTTAACTTAATCAATGCATGGGCATTAGCTGAGACAACACACAAAAAACACAAAAATGGCCGTGCCAAATTGGAGTGGAGATTGTAACAACCTTGGCCACACAGTCCATCTGGCATCATGTGGCTGCTCCTGGGTCAGTCGTTATAAAGTCTGACACTGTCTGACACTGTCTCGGGATTTGGAACTGTTTTTTGTCTATATTTCCATGTTTTCATCACAGGGCAAACATCTTTGAATGGGATGGATCAAGGAGGATGTCAGTATTCCAGTATTCCTCCGAAGCATGTCGATGGGACCTCCTGAGCCTTAGTAATGCAAGAAAATAAAAATGTGTAAAATTGATTGATGTAAAAAGATCATATTAATGGATTGAATGGTATAAATGAATGGTCACTCCTATTGTTCTTTCTGTATATTACTTCTATTTTAGGAATAATCATGCATTACATTTTGAAACTACAGTTCCCATAACTTGGGGGTTTTGGGGGATACGGGGGCTCAACAAAAGGTATGTTGCCATGTAATCGGTTGTTACAACTTATCTTTTTAGCATACATATTTTTTCTTTCTTCAGTTATACAAATACATTTTAATTTAATTTAATTCTTTATATTTAGGCAAATTCACAGCATTAGATGTACACTTACAGCAACAGTTCTTGTTTGCAATGCGTCCATGGATATACAGACAACTATCACTGGATTACTTTGATACCAAAGAAAACTTAAAAACATGATGATTCTTGGTAAAGTTATAAGGTGCAGCTTTTTTTCTACAGTGTCCAAGCAGATTTATGGGCATTTATTTGCATTGCACACTGACTAAACACTGACTATGACAGCAGTAGTGTGTGTGTGTGGCCTTTGCTGACCCTGCATGTTTCTGCACATCCGCATACTACCACACTTCCACGTCCCTTCTGTTACTGTGACAACACCATATGTCTCTCTCTCTCTCTCTGTCCCTCCCTTTTACTCCCCTACTCCCCATCATCAATTTCACCCCACAATCCCAACGCCCACATTGACTCACAACCCATAGTACTAGTGAATTTCTAAATGACCTACTTTTACAGAGGATGTTTACATGCATCCTGATACCTCGGATATGAGTCACACCCCGTTTTTTGATCATATTTTTGGATATGACTTCTACACTACATGGAACATAGAGTAAACTTGTTTTTTATCATGTTAATGTATACACTATTACATATACAGGTTTGTGATCAGGGTCATCTCCACTGACCTCTATGATTTCTGTTTTGACTGAACTTTATCTTAATAATTGAGTATAACTCTATTTGGTTTATAGATGCCTGATAACTGAAGCAATAACTGCAATGCTCCTTTAATCACATGGTTGGCAGTTGGAGTTGCCAAGAATAACAAATAGCACTGACATTTTGTGTCAAGCTTTCATTTTCACTGTGTTTTGCCCCTCTGAGCACAGGTGTGACATTGTGCATTCCAAGGAACATACCTTTCGCTCTCACCTCAGTGTCTACAGGTCACACGCTAGTGAGGGATCATGTACCTGCTGACTCCACTGTAGGCCTCTCAAAAAGGGGTCCTTGAGGGATTCCGGGGGGGGGGGGTCTCTAGAAAAATGGGAAATATTTAAATCTTTTATTTAATTGACTAGAGGTTAGTCCAATAAGAGAATACATAAGAATGACTATTCTATTCATAGGTTTTACACTCTTTACTGTTAATCTGCCA